ATGTTTCAAAAGCTCATACCAAGTCAGCCATTTTTTTCCATATGCCTACTGACAATCACATTTAATTTGTATATGCAGGGTATTAAAACAAAAAAAAAAAATCCACCAAAACCAATGGTGAATCTTGTGTGTTTCAGTCAAACAAGAACCTACATACTCACAATTAAAAAAAAAAAAACCCCAAAAATAATTTATGCATATCATTTAATTTGTGCACTGAGGGCAATATGTTGCTACTTCTTCATATCCTGACTACTATCACAGGTATTTTTTGTTACATCAGTGCACCAGATTTTGACAGCTTATATTAGGACAAAGCCGTCAGCTAAAATACTATGAAGCTACAGTTTTTCAGGTTGTATTGTTTTGTTTTTAAACAGGACCTTAATCTGGAATAGCCTGTGATAAATTCCTTCATATACAGGCACTTAAAGAACAGCAAGAATTAAAATAGACTTTGGCCCAGCTGAAGGTCACCTTCTTTCTATTTATGCATAGTTTCACGTATCTCCATTTTCCTTTTCTCCCTGCACCAATTAACTCCATTAACAAGGGCATCCAAAGCAATGGTAAGTTCCTGAAAATTCAGACGTGCTTTAAGCAAAGCAAAAGATACAGAATAATCTTCAAAAATGACTATGCGATACCTACTTCATGGGAGAAAGCTAACTGCAACTAACTTGCTGCACACAGCACACAACAGACTTAAGACACTTTTGAGGGAGAGGACGGTTGTCTGCGTTATTCAGAAAATTATAAACAAACAATGTAATTGTGTACAAACAGTTCAATACGTAACTCTACACACTGAAGATTCTTGATCCTTAGAGCAAACAAAGGAGACTTATCTTTTAAATCTGCTTCCATTTATTTAGCATGTTTTAAGAATAGCATCCAATGTATAAGGAGAATACATTATAAACAGACAAAACTTATTGGTAAGTTACGGTTTTCCATTTCATTTAATTAACTTTGTGCACACAGTATTTCAAAGACTGCAGATGCCTTTTTGTTTATGCTGGTCAAAATTCCTTTTACAGGATTTTTTTTTTTCTTAAGCTGAAGAGTAGAGGACAAGTTTGCTCATTTCTCCCCTTAAGTATCCCTAAAAAATTCATAATGCTTTAGTATGAGTTTCTGCAGTGTAAAAATAGACACTCTGTATTACAAACTCATACAAAATACATCAGTGCCTTCAAAATTAATGTAACATCAATTTGGAAAGACAAAAATAGCAGGCAGTCAACTGACTACACCCTAAACTGGTACATGGTTAGCTGAAGTCTTCTTAAACAAAGCAGCCTATTTAAGTCAAGTATACGATGATGTGTTCTTACTGTATTACAGGAACAAAGGTACTCCTTAATTAACAGTGAAACAAGTTCCTCATAATTCTTACATTTAATCTACTCCCACTTCACCAAGAAGGAAGCACACAGTATGTTCTGGACGCAACTGCCAAGAACTACCTGAAGGTTGCTTTTCTGTGTTGCTTAACATTGAGGGCTACCTTGTGGATCCTACGTGTATGTGCTCGACTAAGAAAAATACTTTTGTATCATACATTTTAAATACTCGTAACTTCTGTAATCTAACCCCCCTCTCCCCCCCGCAATAATTGTGTGCATGGTACCTAAAAGTAAGTAAAAAGTGATTTTATTCCTCTGGATGTTCCCATGCAAATATCACATGTACCAGAAGTTAGATCAGTCCTTCACAGTGCTCTATCAATGCATTTCATGGTATTGTATCAGATTAAAGTGCTTTGATGTTCTTGAAACAAAGGATTTCAGCTTAGGGGTTACTGCAGTAAATATGTGTTAACTTTTGAAACTGCTACGGTTATTTCACACACACACATAACCAACCTGCTGTTCATTTTTGAAGCTGGTATTTTTGCCAAGAGAAGTGATAATTGCTTACAGTTAATTAGGATGCATCCATTGGTCTACTGAGAACTGGATGGGGATCACCAGGATTACTTCACAAAAGCCAGCTCATAATTGCTACCATTCGGCCTGCGCAGAAACACAAATAGGTATTTGCTAACTGAAGCACCTGTGACAAACTTCACACATACTACCTTTTCAGAAAGTAATTTTTATTAAATATTGGGGGGTGTTGTTAGTTTCATAGTTAAATGATTATTAGAGAATATTATATGGGCTACAGCCCTTCTCTCTTGAAATTAAAAGTGGAATTCCCCAGAAAATCAAGTCTTTCTACAGAGCAGAGCACTGGGCCAGGTATCACTGTTTTCTGTATTAAAAAAGATAAAACCAGCTTTCATTTATAGATGTTTTGGACACCATCAGGTCCAACAATAATGATCTGCTTTTTGCCACCATAACCTTAGGATCGTTACAAGATGTCTGTTACATAGAGTTGCATATCACCCCAAGAATTACATACAGTGCAGCTGTGAACCACCAGACACTTCAACAGCCATTGAACTAAAGACAATTCTTCCAGGTAAAGTAGGTGCTGTCATTCGTTTAACAGGAGTTCACAGTTTTCTCCTCTTGCTTTCCTCCAAGTGCAAACGCTCTGTACTTTGAGCACGGTGAATAGAAAGGGTGGTGGATGAAGTTAAGCGTCTTCATTTTAAAATCTAACTACTTTCTCATAACCTTGGAGGCAAAATCTACTTAAGCTAGCCTCTGTTTGGTTAGTAAAACACATTAGCCGCTTTTGTTGGTAATCTTTGCCAGAAACACTGGAAGCATTCAGTTTGTGCATTTTGAAAAAATTAATAAATCTACTGTAAACGGCTTTAAAAATGTAGTTCCCTTAGACATCTTATGTCATCTGGTTTCCCCCAGATGAAAGACAATCAGCACATCTGAGTAAACTCTGCAGAGGAACACAGTTACATAATCTCTATCAGGTACCTTTCATTAAAACGGAGGAGGCAAAAGGGAGGAAACAGCTCACACAGCAGAAAAAAAAAAAAAACGCCTCAAGCCTTTCAATTCGGCACTTCGAATGCGGCATACAGCCA